TCTTTATTGGACCATTCCGAATTCTATGTTTTAAACTTGAAATAATATATTAAAAGATAAAAACTATGAAATAGTATAAGAAATATTTTAAAATTATATCAATGTAAATATTTTTATGTATAAAATAAAATTTTAAAATTACATATATAATGTCGGGTTGGTTTTTTTTAGTTAAAACCAAACCAACCCAAATATGGTCAGGTTTTTTTTTTCCAATACCAAACCACTAGTCGGATTTATTGTTCGGTTTTGTACACCCCTAGCTATAACAATATTTGTAGTGTGATTATAAAACTTTTGAAATTTGTGATATTAAACGTGTTATAACATTAATAATTAAGAAACATCCATCCAAAGCATGTGATATTTTTTAGCTGGAAAGTCTAAGTGATAGCGTGTTACAACTAATGCTACAAAATAAAATCAAGAATAAGGAAAGAGATGTCTTTGGCTCCCAAGTTGAGAAAGCTTAAACTAAACTGGTTTAAATAATTTTAAAAACACTAATTAGATACATGAATTATTTAGTGTTATGTCAAATAATGAAACAACTTTTTTTTTGGCATAAGAATTTTAAAATTTGAGTTTAATGAATTTGGCATTATGGATGCTACTAGAAAAATAGAAGAGTTGTTGTCATAGTGCAAATAGTAACCTGGCTTTTAAACATCATTAAAGGACCTACATATTGTGGAATTAGCACGTAAATCAATCACTTTTTTCATTTGGCCACTAAAGCAAATAATTTCCATTAGCTTAACGACGAACTCTATTAGCAAAAAAAATCACCACCTTTTCTTTCTATATAGACTACTAATTAAGGCAGTTGAACGATCAATTCAAACCCTCATTCAAAGATTTCCATCATTAATTAACATCTACCACAAGGAAATTCTAATAAAAAGCTTACTGCTTTGTTGATTAATTAGAAAATAAGAAGAAGATTTAAACGTTATAAAATAGTGCAATACTATTATGGATGTGCTTCTTGCTGCCCTTGTAATTCCTCGAACAATAAAAACTACTCATGAAGTTAATTGCACGTATTATTTGTTTTGGTCCAACAAATATCACCGGTTTAATTTATTCTTTAGTCTATGTCATCATTAAGCTTAAGCTAAAAGCGTATGTACCAAGTCAACTTGTGTTATGTTTTACAAAACTTTTAAAAAAAAATCATTTCAATGTGGATTATTTAGCTTAATTATATGTCATGTGTAGTAGAAGCTTGCTAGCCTATTAATCCGTTGGCCCTTCTTTTCAATTTGTCCTCATCGGACTCTTCTCCGTCATTAACATCACATTTACTCTCCATCTCCTTGACGACTCAACATCCTTGTGGAAGTTCGCGCCATAAAGCTTTATGATAGGGTGTCAATGGGATAGGTCCAATCAAATTTGGACATATCATAATGGGTTAAGACAAAAATCTGGTCAAGATCCAATTACCCAGCCCAAATTTGCACGGGTCAAAACGGGTCAGGTAATAGGATATATAACGGGTCAAGACTCAACCCAACTTTTACTACACTTAATTGTTTTATTGTTTCTTTTAAACTATTTTAATAACTAATAAAATTATTATTTTCTTTATTATGACTATATATAACATATCAAATTGAAAAAAAAGTTTTAAAAAAATATTTTTACAAGATTTCTCATGAGCCAATACGGGTTACATATTTATACATGTTTGATGGGTTAAAATAAGTTAGATTGAAATGGATTGAGCTAATAAATGGACGGATCAATAACCAAGCGGATTTTGGATTTGTTTTTACAACCTCTAGAATCTGATAACAAAAATTAGGTGGGTAATTGAGCATATAACAAAAAGAGCAACTTTCACATATAGCAAATACAAAAATCATATTTGTATGCTATAACTATAGTTTGTATAATAGCGCTCCATAGCAAACATAAATATGTATATTTCGCTATAAATGTACAAAAGATCAATTGTATAATTTGTGTTTGTATAAAGCAAGAAAGAGAGAAAGACAAAAGAAAACTGGGCAGGGAAAGATCATATTTGTATAATCATAAGTGTATAGGACAAAAATATATGCATTTGTATTTGTATATACAATTTTCTCTCGCTTTATACAAACACAAACACAAACACAATGTATACATTTGTGTTTGCATAAAGTGAGAGAGGCGAGTGAGCGAGATTTGGGAGAGTGGCGAGTGAGATCTGAGAGAGGGGAGAGAGGAGAACAAAAATATATGTATATGTACAATTTTCTCTCGCTTTATACAAACACAAACGCATTTTATATAATTTGCGTTTTTGTATAAAGTGAGAGAGGCCAGTGAGACAACAAGATCTGGGAGAGTGGCGAGCTAGATCTGGGAGAGGGGAGAGAGGGGAACGAAAATATATGTATATATACAATTTTCTCTTGCTTTATACAAACACAAACGCATTTTATATAATTTGCGTTTTTGTATAAAGTGAGAGAGGCCAGTGAGACAACAAGATCTGGGAGAGTGGCGAGCTAGATCTGGGAGAGGGGAGAGAGGGGAACGAAAATATATGTATATATACAATTTTCTCTCGCTTTATACAAGCACAAACGCATTTTATACATTTGCGATTGTATAAAATGCGAGAGAGGCGAGGGAGAGAACGAGAGTGGCGAGCGAGATTCACCAAGAGAGAGGCGAAATAACAACAGTTTGCTATGGGGTACAATTAAATCAAACTATATTTATAGCATTTAATTTGAATTAATAGTTTGCTATTATATACAATTTTCCCTAACAAAAAAGGTTTCCTTGGTCACAAAATAAAAATAGAAAAAGCAGATTAGGCTTCTTTTTTAGCCCCCTAATTCTCTTATTAGCTTTAATACTATGAAACAAAATAGAGAAAGATTAAAGACCTTCAAGAGATTTGCCCAAGTTACCGGTAAGTAAGAGTTTGTAAATATACGTTGGGGGCTAAATAGCTAACTTCTCTTCACACGTAGCACTAAAAAGAAATCTAGTTTCAATGGCCTACGATGAAATCACACAAAAAAATATCAGATTTGTAATTAAGACTTAAATTCATAATATATAATTATTTGCATTGATTCAATAAGTTCCAAATTTATTCCTTTTTTCGCTTTGGTCTAACAAGCCTCATAGATTTATCTCTTGAACTAGGACATCTTCAAGCCTACAATGCATGTATGACATGTAAAATTGTATTATGCCTTAAATTCTTCTTTACCTTTCACTTGAATTTCAATCTTCTAAAATGTCTTTTTTCCCCATCTTTGACCCGTTCTCGGCCCGGCCACCAACATAATGTCCAACTTTATAAGACAAACCAATCTCGTCCCAAATTTCGAAAAAGTAAACTTAGAGATACGAGTAGAAAAAAGAATAGGAAAAAAAACTTAGTCTAAAAGTTTACACGATGTGGCAACTTTTAAATGGTGAGGTGAAATTTGTAGTATGTGTGTGATCGGAGAATCTTGCCTAATTTTCGGACCAAAAAGAGTATTGAAACAATCATTGAAATTAAAAAGGCCACTATCTTCCTACCCCCACTTCTCCAAATTGTTTTCTTTTTTCCATTCTTTATGTTATTATAAATTTGAAACTACTCCACATGCATCATTCAACTCGGACTCTATTTGACTTGACACATTATTTAAGTAATCAGACATTTTATTGTTAAAATAGCCTTATAGTTTTGCTTTTAAAATTTAGATTTGGCAATTACTCTCTCTATATCAATTTATATGACTTAAACTTATCTTAACACAATGTTTAAGAAAGAGGAATTTAAAAAAAAATTATGATTTAAAATAAGTCATAAATGTTTAAGGGTAAATTGAGCATTTTAAAGTAATATATCATTTTTTTTAGAATGATTCAAAATATAAGTCATATAAATGGAACAGAGAAAGTAATATTTAAGTAGTTATTTAAAAGAGAATTTAACTTTTAGTATAACACCAAGAAAGATGAACAGAAGTAGCAAGGCTACTAGCTATATATTAACATGCTAGGGTTAGGTTTAACTTCAGAATACAAGAGAGAGTCGATCAAAATTTTCAATAAAGTCATCTACCCCATAATAATTTTCATTATTTTTTTTAGGGGTTTTTAATAATTTGAAAAATGATGAAAAAGAGACAAGTTGTGGTGAGAAGGATCAGCAGTGGATCATCGACGATTAGGAACATACGATACGTTGAATGTCAAAGGAACCATGCGGCAAATATCGGAGGCTACGCCGTCGACGGCTGCCGTGAATTCATGGCAACCGGAGATGATGGAACCGCCGCCCTTACTTGTGCAGCATGTGGATGTCACCGGAATTTTCACCGGAGAGAAGTTGATGGCGGCGAAGTTGTTTCTGAGTCCTCTTAGATCATATGATTCGTCCAAGAAAATATTAATTAAATTAAAGGTGAGTTTTAAATTTATGTATCAGATAAGTTGATTATAGTTTTATAATTTCATTGTGCTTTGTGCTTGAATATTTTTGTGTATAATTTGATGTACAAAATTGATGAATTCCAGCTAAAAGAAGAATCTTTCTTGTAACTCAAACAAGATATATATATATATAAATTATTACTCATCGGAAGATTTTATTTTTAAATAGTACTATATGAGTTTTGTTTTTATTTTTTTGCTTGTTAAATAGTAATGATCTTTAATGTTTCAATAGTTCAATCTGAAAGTGCATAAGACTGATGAAATTTTGTCTACATTATCTTAACTTCAACTTGGAATAAAAATCTTGTTTGAGAAATACTTAAAGTGAAATAATTTGACAAATACCTTCTAATCTATTGAAATTGATCAGGTCTAATACAAATTCCAACATCAGCTATTTGTTTTTTCAACTTCAATCAAATATTTTCTAATCGTGCCAAAGTTGCATATACATTTGACTAAATTAGAGTCTTCTTGAATTTGGCAAGAGAAAACCCTTGGCAATTCAAGAAAATAGGATTATGATTTTATTTTGAAGAATATTTAACAAGAGCTATGGCGTAACTGCTAAAGTTATTAACATATGATGAGAATAACCTTAGTGTTTCGATTTTTTTAAAAATCTCACGCATAACAGAAGCTTAATTAGTGCACCGGACTATTGATAAAGAATATTGAAGAAACTTCATCTGTATGACTTTCATGGTGTGCAAGACAGATAATATGTCCCCTTTATAAAGTAACAACAGATAATTTCCAGTTCAGCCAGGCATTATTATAGAGTTGAGTTTTGTTTGGAGCTTTTGGTACTCCAAGTCCAAGGAACCAATAGACAGATAAGTATATATATATATATAAAAGAATAATACAATCTTTTTGTCATATTTTATTTCTCCATTGAACGCTCTGGCAGACAATAGGAGGAACACAAATTTTAATCAAGTCATCATCTCAGCTTTGCAAGAATTTTATATTAGCTTCTAGGCCCACATATCTACTCATGTTGTCTTGCTATAATGCAGTCTTCCTTGTAATTAATTATAAAGCTGACTCTAAAGTCTATATAGCTTCTAATAAAATAATAATGTTGCTCAAGTGATCCTCATGATCTTCAAACTTTATATTAGAAAAAATAAATAGGAGAAAGCAAAAGTTAAAAGAATTAGTAGAATATGTCAAGTGATTCTACATAAAATCATGGTGGCCGATCCATTCACTTAATTTATTTGCTGACTATATTATGACTCCATTATTAGTCATCAAACGAAGAGCGCGATGAGTAGAAAGAAAAAACCACACTATTAATTCAGTGTTTGAGTTAGGCCCAATATTATGAATTTGAATTTTGTTGCAGACAAAAATATTCAATACTTTAATCTAAATAAATAGTGGACAAATTTATTATTTTGAATAGTACGCGAAGCAAAGAGCATGTCGTCGTTGTCATTTGTCAAGGCTATTAACATGTGTGCACGTGCACTGTGAATTATGAAGATTTGAACTCTGACAAATGAGTTGGGTAGAGTAATAGAAATAGAGATTTTTAGTCATTAAAACTTCCCAACACTGAAATCATCTAAATCTTGGTTATTAAAAAAAATAAAAATTAAATCTTGACAACTTTCCTTGTCACTTAAAAGTGATTTCTTTTTATTTATATTATAAAAATTGGATTTTCCCTTTTCTTTTTGGTGTCATGTCTAACTTTTAGGTTCTGGTCGAGGTGTAGAAAATGGGTAATGCACAAAAGAATGACTTGGAAATCACTCGATTTTTGTTTTATAAAAAAAAAGTGATGTAGTTGAGAATGACTCCATGTTCTTGCAATGTGTGTTTGCGTCAAATTATATAAATTTACTATAGTTACTTAATTAAGTGAGATTGTATGTTAATTAACCATGATTAAATATGAAAAGTTTATGTGCAAATTAACATATTTAATGTATCTATTGATTTAAATTAAATAATTGATGTAGATTATTATCTCACTCTTTAGAGCAGTAGTCCCCAACATACTGTCACAAATTGGTCCTCTTGTAGTCCTACACTGAAAGTACATATACAATATAATTCCTTCGTCACAAAGGACTTGGGATTTGATATGACAAGAAAATGATAAAACTTTACACCATGTTTTACTGTATCCTAACAATGGAAACCTTGTCTTGTTCTTCTAAAAAATCTTTAAAAAAAAGTTAGTGATGATTTGGTTAGCGTTTACCCAATAAACACTACTAAAAAATTACTCTTTTTCATTGAATAGTTTTCAATATTTTAATGAGAATCTATTTTCAACCATCCATGCGTCTTTTCCCCTCACTGATTTGGTAAAAATGGATGAAAAAAACATTTTATCTTATAAACGCCGTACCACTTATTCAATTGGATAGACGCCGTGTGATGTGACATCAGACCACTTATTATTAACAGTTAACACCACGTACGTGTGGAAATGAAACAGCACTTCTGCCCTCTAAAGTTCCATTTTGATCAACTTGGTTTAAAACAGTTGTTCCTTTGAACTGATCAATTAATAATGCAATAAATCGCACCTATTTTTGATAAAAGAAGTCGCAAGTTTAATTAAAATGAACCATCTGCATTTTTCATTTTATAAGCTGATTTATTCTCTATCATAGAATGTTGTAACAGATTTTGATGAACTGCAACTTTTTAAGATTTACTTACGAATTAAAGTTACTATTCAATAAAGTTACCAACAATTATCTTTTAACTAACCTAATTAATTTACCTTTTTGCCTACGAACTCAATCCCTTGTCTCAACATTTGCAGGAATAAGAATAGAACTTCCATATAAATGCTATTGTGGTGATAGCTAGGTACACTCAAGATATCATATATGACGTTCTGGATATTTAGTATGTGATCTTTTCAAAAGCCAATTACATCTGAATTCACTTTTATTTTACGATTCATATTAGTTTTCTCCATATACAATTTTAGTTGTGTTTTACGTGTACTCGACTCCAACTCATTCTCAATAATAACTCATTCCTTATTTCATTGCAACCACTACCCCAGGCATATTTTCCTTATAATGAGGTTGTACTCGAAGATATAATACGTACTTTTTTATCAAAGATTATAAATTTTACCCAATATTTTTCACCATCAATATCAGGATTAAGCCTCGAAAAGCATAACTTAGCAAACCTGAATTTCTATTGAGGATCAAAGTAGAGAACATATACAGTTATAGATAAAAATGACATTATATACGACTCAAATATTTATTAAACTCCCATAAAATCAAAGTGAACATTTTAGCCATCACGAAATTCGCAATATTTTAATTCTCCGTATTTAGGAAGACGCAAATTTGTTGGGGTATTTACATCCCGTAAACAATGTCATTATGTCATAAAATAACTTCATAATATCTCAACCTTTTTTTCATTCGTTTCGAAAATGCCATATCTAGCCAGTATATAGTAGGTGTTACCGTTCTAGTCATAATTCTTCTTCAAATATTCAATTGCCTTGGTGATCTTCCGTTTGGTATGTTTTACATTTTTTTATCAGTGTCAATCAATTTATATTGAATATATACTGAAAATAAGATTGCTGATAATAAAGAGCAACTTTCACATATAGCAAACACAAAAATTCATATTTTGTATGCGATAGCAAAGTTTGCATAATTGCGCTCCATAGCAAACATATATATGTATAATTCGCTATACATATACAAAAAAACAGTTATATAATTCGCTATACATATACAAAGAAGGCAATTGTATAGTTCGCTATACATATACAAAAGAAAACAGTTGTATACAAAAAATCAATTGTATAATCTGTGTATAGTATAAAACGAGAAAGAGAGAAAGGCAAAGAAAACTGGGCAGAGAAATATTTGTATTGTATAATTATAAGTGTATAGGACGAAGATATATGTATTTGCATGTGTATATACAATTTTCTCTCGCTTTATACAAACATAAGCGCATTTTATATATTTCGTTTCTGTTTGTATAAGCGAGAGAGGCGAGGGTGGCGAGCGAGATCTGGAAGAGGGGAACAAAAATATATGTATATATACAATTTCCTCTCGCTTTATACAAACACAAACACATTTTATACATTTGTGTTTGTATAAAAGCGAGAGAGGCGAGCGAGACTGCCACCAAACGAGAGTGGCGAGCAAGATTCCACAGGGAGAGTGGCGAAAATAGCAATAGTTTGCTATAAGGTACAATTAAATCAAAGTATATTTATAGCATTTAATTTGAATTAATAGTTTGCTATTATATACAATTTTTCCCTAATAAATAACACTTTCAAGCATTTGATAGGTGAACTTTTTCGAATAGTCATACTTTGACATCGTCTTTTTTTTAAAAAATAAAATAAAAAAGATGAACAAGATTTCTAATGAACCCTCCAAATTTTAATATTTCTAGTTTCGATTCACCTATGTAGCATCATGCTTTTGAATCCATTTATGACATGTCGATTATCCTAAGAACCATAAATAGTTGATAAATAACTAGTTTTAAATGAATCGAATCTAATTATCATGTAAATATACTTTATATTACTATAAATAAAACTTAAATCTTATCAAAATGTAGTCAACAGACATAGTAAAATTATATTTTATTCTTTAATATAACATCAACATAACATAATATTATAAAGCAATGAAAAAAACATAATATCAATGGTCGTTGATTATTTGTGTTTATAAATTTTTTCATTATTGCAATATAACTAAACCTTTACCATACTGGACAGAAATTTGTGACAATCGCGTCTGTGGCGTTTTCGTTCAGACAGTTTTTGCCAGTAATGTCATCCTTTCTGAGTGTCTGGATCATAAACTTGTTGATGGAATGAAACAAAGTTTTGAAATAAAATTATGTTTCTTGCTAGGCTTTGATGATAGAACTCTTATTTTTGGGAAAAAAGTGACTACCTTTTAGGCGGAGTAGAAAGTGATGTAGGAAAGTTTGTATGGTAAAATATTTGTTAATTATTTATATGAAACTATAGTACATTCATAATAAAAGAAAAAGGAAATCAATCAGAATTGAACATAATTAAGTAACATAGCATTTTGGTAGACACATTGTTTGGTTCTTAGTATGTTTCTTCTTGTTAATGTTTCCTCACA